GGCAAGCACTTATTCTACTGAGCTATCTCCCAGGCCCCACTCCTATTTTTTCAATGACTCCATCAAGTTATTCTTTTTTGCCTTAGCTAACACCTGCTGGATTGATTTCTCATGGTCCCTTGCTATTTTTAAGAAATCTTTGTTTTTATGATCACTGACTGCAAGCCTGTCTTTTATATCTGAGATCCTGTCCTCACCTGGCTTAATCTGCTGTGGATATTTTCAGTGAAACTTTTATTCTCTTGGATATCTGTTTTATTCTCCCTTATAGATTCCATTTTTTTCCCTATGCTTTCCTATGAGCACTCATGGTTTCCATAATTTTCTTACGCTCCTTTCTCTTCTTGTCTGTAGTACTCTAGAGTCACTAAGCATGGTTTTCATTGTGGACACTATCTCTATAGTTGTCTGAGAAATTATTTCTGATTTGATTTTTTCTAGAGCCTCATTCAATTGCTTTGTTGTTAACACTTCAGAGAGGCCAAATGGGATTACAGGCCCACGCCACCACGCCCAGTCTCAATTGCAGTCTCAGCATGCCCTGGGGGTGGGGCCGGCTTGGGAGGCCCAGGGATCCACAAAGCCCTGGCCCCTGTGCTTGCTTGCAGGTGTTTTAATCCCCAGTATTAACTATTGTTATTCTCTAATTATTTTGTTACAAAATTTTGGTTTTTACAGAAGAGTGCTTTTTGTGTGTGTGAGGTACCAGGGATTAAATTTTGGACCCTGTGCTTGCCAGGCAGGCGCTTATTCTACTAAACTATCTCCCCAGCCCAAGAGTGCTTTTTATGGTTTTTTTTTTTTATATCTGTTCATTTTGCATTATGGTAAACATAAAAATATTTTAAAATGTATACCCATCTCTATGTACTTGTTTCCATATATGCATATATGGTACCATATTCATAACACTAGTGCTGTTTATTTCAGAGTGGAAGTCTGTTATGGTTTGTGTCTAAACATCTCCCTGTAGCCTCATGCACTTTTAAATGGAGGTTTTTGTCAGAGGTAGCTGAATCTAGAGTTTGTGATCAGTTTATAGTCCAATGCTGGGTTTATGGGTGTATGTGCTACACTTGCTCTAGAGCGAGTGGCCTGCATACAATATGAGACAGAAGGAGACCTGTCCCTTTTGCCTTTCTGTTCCTTCCCTGGCTTGCTGTTGCTGTCTTTTTCCCACCATGAACTATTTCTTTTCTGGGATTCCCCTCTTCCAAGCCACCCTGCCTTGGAGCCAGCCAGTTATGGGATGAATCCTCTAAACACTGGGCTAAATAAACCTGTCTTTTTGAGACAGGGTCTCACTATGTAGTTCAGGATGGCTTTGAG